AGACAGAAATAAGGCACTCAAAAGGAAGGAGGCTCAAAAGAGACTACAAAAAGATGTAAGCATGCATAATAATTAACTAAATAAGAATGTAAACAAGATGATATTATTACTTAAGGACTCCCAAAGAGGATATCATATATAGGGCATTACATAGTTATTGATTTACCTTCACCTATTTGCTCTTAAGCTAACAAGGTGGTAAGTCCCAACTGATTTTTCTAAGCAAGTTGGTGAGCACTCACCTCTCCCTAGGGCTAATAGCAGGCAATAATGTTTTCTTTTTTACCACTTGCAAGTAAAAGGACATATCACATTTTATTTGTTAAAATAAGCAAAGTCGCAAAAAAGGACCACTGTGACTGCAGTTTACAAGGTAGGAATCAAGTACTATTTTAAAGGATACTTTTCATTACTTCTAAGTTTATTGATAACTTGACTATTCCCATATGACTGCTCTATCTAACAATCCAATAAATCTATTTGGTTTCAGAAGGAGAATGCTGATCACTGCTATAACAACACCAAACAGCGCTTTATAGTACAGGATACGAAGAAATGTGACTGTCCAGCAAAGATCCACCTAAGGAAAATAATCAAGTATCCTGAAAATAAGGTCAGTTTATTTTAATTATTGAATAAGGGTTCAGGGGGCACTACCATTAACATGAATGATCACTAGCCTAATAAAGGGTGCTTATTATCCTTATGGGCCTTGTTACATGTAGGTGAAGTGGACATATGATAAGACAACCTGGACATTTTGTTGTGCAGAATTGAAACAAATATACCTGTAATGGAAACAGAGTGAATATTTTAGAAACCAATTTTTCAAATATTATTTTAATTAAAACATTGTATCGTTAGATTTCAGAGAACACAAAGAGTAGAAGGGAGACAATGTCAAAATTTCTGAGAACATCCCTAGAGTCAGAAAAGAAGCAAACAATAGCTACAGAGGAGCGTATTTTCATATTACTTCCTAAACCTACGGATCACTTATTTCACCCCATGGGGAGGGTAAGTACTTGGCCATCAATTAAATTTTTTTTGGAATCAGGAAACTGAAGTTTGGTGGGGAATTTAAGGTGACTTAACTTCACACAGATCATCAGTCTACTGTAGACTGTGCTGCTTCCACTGTCATGTCGAATATATATAAAGAATGAATAAAGATTATACATCACAACAAAAGACCAATAAAATGTACTACATGTAAAGCTTCTTTTAGCTACACTGGCACTCATTCCTCAAACTCAATGTCAAGACTATAATATCACAATTTTATCGGAGAGGGATTTCCACTGGCACTGTTTTAATGGAATGCTGTTATGGACTTTTTAAATGGATTTTCTTAAAAAATACAGTGTTCAGTACTCTGTAATTATAACATTCTGTAACTATTACTGAAAAGCCCTACCAGAGGACTGCCGATAGTAATGTTGGTATAATTTGCATTATTCCTCATTCAAAATATTTCCCTGTTTCTGAAAGGTTAAAACCACTCACATATTTCATCATAACCAGCTGCTGTTGACCAAATTTGGAAAAAATTTTCTCATATTGAACCAATGACATCAAAAGCAGCCGGCTCCAGGTTATTGAACCGTTGACCAAGAAAACCTGGGGATGAGGTTGTGTAATTTTTTAAATGAATAAATAATAAAGCAATTATTCTTTCTTTCTTGTTGTGTAATCAGACTGCTGGGCTACTTCAGCCTATTGATGAGACACTGGTTAAAAAAATTCATGAGCTTGTTGGAAGTGGTGTTAATTGTGTTTCTGAAATGCAACAGCACCTGCATCATTTTGTAAAGAAGGAACTTTTCACAGGCCAACAGCCTCCAGATCTAACCAACAGACGGTTCTTCCCAACAACCATGGATGTCAGGAACCACATATATCGTGCCACAGTGGTGTGCAGATATTCACAAATTGATCAAGAAAACCTTGACTTAAAAATCAAGAAGTGGAAAGAAGAAAGCCCAGATGATAATTTCTTTTTCAGGCCTTACTGCCTTACAAGTGATAGTGAGTCCTATCAACAACCACAGTCACTGAAGGAAGAAGACAGCACTGATGTAATTAAAATAAGTATAGGTGATCCATTTTAAACAAGACAACATGGCTGTGTGATTCTGAGATACATGCTGGTCAGATCCTCCTAAAACAAAAATTCCCTCTTGTAGATGGTCTAAGGGACCCTGTTATTGTGGGTGCATTAGTCACTCCAGCCATTAGTGAGTTTGTACAGATCATAAACACTGGCTCACACTGGGTTTGCCTGAGCACAATAGCTACTAGTCCTGGAACTGTCAAGGTGTATGACAGCTTATATCAAAATGTAAGCGCGGTTGCCATTGATCATTCATGTCGCATGCTATTGTATACTGGTTCTACAGTCACTTTTTGTAATGAAAGAGTGCAAAAGCAAACAAATTCAAATGACTGTGGCTTGTTTGCACTGGCATTTGCTACAGATTTATGCCATGGCCTAAACCCCACATCGCAGTCATATGACCAAGACAAAATGCGCAAACACTACATCAACTGCCTGGACTTGCATGATATGGTTCCTTTCCCAAGAACGTCAAGACGGGTACCATATCATACAATCACCAAAAGAAAAGCAGTGACAATCTAAAAGTCTATATGTGGCTATGGTCTGAATGATTTGTAATTCAAAATTATGAATGAATTTAAAATTATGAAAACTATGAATTTCTCCGTCAGTTTTCTGCCTAACTCAGTTTTCTGCGTAACTTATTTTTCCTTGTTCTTGAGTTTGTGGTGCTTTAATATCATGATGAAAATTGCCTGTAAGAATTTCATGGATGATACTTGTAGACCCACATTTAATCCATAGGTTATATTCTACAAGTTCAAATTGAAATACTTAACATTTAGGAGGAAGCTCAAGCTGAATATTCGAATGTTGACCGTCGGTGTATTGTCATCACACAATCATCTTAAAAGTGTGAAATATGTACATCAATTTATTTAATACAAGTTTGAAGGCTTATCATGTGATAAACTTCTGATTAAGTACCTCTTCAGAAATTTCTGTACATATGAGTTTAACACAAATGCAATTAAAATTAATACTTATCTTTCTCGAGTATTCTGATGTCATTGTTCTTCTGCTCACTTGGCAGCTATGAGGCTTAGGTCGATGGTGTGTAGGATTTCCAAGAGGTGTTGCCAATCAATCAGATCGACCGAAACCAGGTTGACAACTTACGAACCGGCCAAACATTTCGTTAACAGCGCCATCGATCAAAGTATCATTACAGTCCAACAAAGGACCTGTTTTCTGTTCAAATCTGGCAGAAACTGGCTCAGACGCACTACGCGAACTTCCTAACACTCGAGTACACTGTGAGTACGCGTCAACAAGAAAAAGCGGAAGTCACATTGTAAACTGCGGATACTCATACAAGATGCCGCTGATATGTCGTGGGCTCATCTGGTTTTGAACGATGATATATAGTGCTTTCCTGACAGAATAGGTTCTTTGCAGGACTTCATCACGTGCTTGGATACCACATAGCAACACTTTGCTGGGGAGCAAGTAAACTAGCGTCACGCTCCTTGTAGCGATCAACTTATGCGAAGCGAACTTTGACTTTTCAGTCAAAAGCCCCCCAAACACTTGTAGTATAAGGACACCAATCGAGAATTATTGTGACTTTGTTTCATTGAGCTTCAATTTCGTCTGATATGGCAAGATATGGCCGCTTATCCAAGACCGAGTGACGGTGAGTTACTTTGTTTTCTTTTAATGACTATTTCCTGGGATTCCGTTATCTTAACTGAAAACGGTCGGTTCAGTCGTCTATTAGAAGACCTCAATCGTGTCAATTTAACTGGTTACGGTTAGAAAGATTGGTTTCAATACAACACCAAGTCGCACAGTATAATTGAACTTATCGGTAACGTTCGTCAGTGTTAATATTTAACTTGTTTTTTCATTTTAATCTTGTATATCTGATTCAGTACGTATATGCCTATCAAGCTGGCAATTGTCTCTATCTTTGCATTCCAAAAATTACCTTTTGGTGCTATTTTACAGGAGATTTTTTTGATTTTCCACAATTTAATGAGGATAATTCTTTCAAATAGGACAATTACCAGTCTTCATAAAAGGTAACGTACGCATTAGAATCTGTTAAGAACTCCTTTGTATGCGGGAGACTCTGAGTTCGATGACAAGAAGTTTGGTTTTGTTATGTGTAAAGTATTTCTACTAATGCACTGGATTATCACATACGTTCACGTGACATAGATGTTAAGAAATTAGCTCAGGTGGAGCTACAAAACTTGAACACACCTGTTCCAAAGGATAAAGCAATAAAGGTCAGAGTGGCTGCTTGTTTGTCGTCTTCCTTTGTCATAATATTCGTGATGTAATGTGTCCCTTTTTTATGATAGATACAAACTTTTCACTAACTTCCAATTTATTAACTTATCCATTTATTTCTCCTTACTCATTTATTCTTCCATGTAAGTAGTTGCAAAGTGTTTTAGAAAAAATCTAATTTAGTAGTATGATAATTTAGTTGTCCATTATATGTGCAAAATTCTTCCGTGTCACAGTGAAAACATTTAGGAGAACTAATGTGTTATCCTACCGTGTCAACAAATTCAGGGCGACATTTTTTCCACTGTCTGAGTACGTCACATTTACATCGTACGATCACACATACAGAAAATAGCAGATAAGGAGAGACCATGAAGACAGCTCTTGCCACCCCCTTGGTTCACCTCCTGGTTCTGGTTACACTCGCGACATCGTCGAGGATGCCATTCGGACATTAAATGAAAAGCGCAAGGAATACTGACTTTTATATTGTTGGAATACATTGAGGATCAAGGTGAGTGGTTTTCGTGTTGATAAGAAAATGAGCACAATTACGTGCATTCCTTTGTGAGATTGCTGCTAAGAGATGTTCTAGACTCTGATCGCATGATGAAGGCGTATTTCAGGAAAGCAGTAGCAAGAAGACACAAAGAGTCAAGTCCATGTGGGTTCCGTGACATTTAACGATAATGTATAGATTTAGCCAGGCCTAAAAGCGGAGCTCTTATTAGTTTATTTTCCAGCCCTACATTAAAATAAAAACTGCTATAAAACTCCTCAGCACTGGCCGTAGAAGAGTTTCTTCAAGGGGATTGAGGGACCAGTCCAGGGAGTCGGGAGGGGGGAGAAATTGACGAGGTCTGGAACCTGGGGACGATGGGCAGGGGCAGCTGAGGCACCTTCGTTGTTGTTCCTGATGTTTTGTGCAGATTTTCGAAGATAGGGAATGTTTTCTTCTTCAGATGAAATTATGACGTCAGCATCAGTTGAAATTATATTCTATTGAGCGTGACTGATAATTTCAGTTTGGGGAAAAAGGGCCCAAATTGAAAGAGACGACGGTAAACTACTTTGCGTGTAAAGTCATCACCTGTCGATTGAAGAGGTATCTGCCACTTTCGCCCCTATCGAGTTCACCCATACCTTATCCCGTGTTCGCCCCCACACTTTTCAAGTTCGATCCCACCAAGTTCGAGTTCTACGATGCTTTTCCTCCTACGTTTCCTGAGCCTCCTGCATTTGATAAGTCGTCGCTAATGGAGCCTTCAGCAACAGATTCTGGACCAGCCATCTTCGAGATCAAGTTTGAGATAGTGGAAGATTCCATAAAGCGGGGCCGAAATAAGCTGGTGGACAGCCGTGGTTACGCTTACAGCGTTAAAAGACGTCGAGGTGGAAACACTGATTGGCAGTGCACTGTTAGACAAAAGGTATAGTTCTGCATTCATTTCTTTCACAATCACCCAGGGCGAGTGGGCGCAGGCTACGGATTACTGCATAGGCGAAAATGGAGGCTGTCGCGAATTTGTTTAAGCCGGAGGAATACTGAAGAGTATACACGCGAGAACAGTGAGTCAGTTAAACAATACGCTAGAATCGTATGGGCTTCTCTTATATCTTCTCCTGAAGTTGCAAGATTAGTGTTTCCCTAACGTGACAACCTCCTCTGTTTAGGGTAGAAAATTAAAAAAGAAAATTAATTTTCAACTCGTGTTTAAACCTGTAATTTTTTTAATTTTAACTTTTTCTCTTAATTTAAAAAAGAAAATTAATTTTCAACTCGTGTTTAAACCTGTAATTTTTTTAATTTTAACTTTTTCTCTTTTAGCTATCTTCAAAGTTTGTTTCACGATCGTCCTCTGGCTGGAAATACACGACGTCTTTCTGAGATTTTTTCTGTTATTTAATTTGGCAACCTCTGCTGTGACTATATATAATGGAGGTGTCTTTAAGCCAACAGTTCATGATCTTGGCAACTCTGGCCAGTGAAATACGAAATTTGTCTAACACGTTTCTTGTGCTGCCAAAGTTTGCTTTAAAGGAAGACAAGCTAGATCTAGATTATCATAATTAAAACTTGATGACAAAGAGAGGCTTAAGATTCGACCGTGAAGGCATTTGTAGAAAACTTGAGATAATACTTGGATTTCATTTTCACATCACAGAAATCAATTCCAAACATGAACTAAGTTTTCGATTTAGTTTAAAAGTTGAGTTGATGTTGTTATTGGCTATATTAAATAGGTTGAACAATTTTAGTTGGTATTTTCTCATGTTTGCAAATAATTGAATTTACTGGAAGGTGGAGTTGTTGCAACATGTTAACATGAAACACATCCATAAATTTTATTGATATGTAAAAAAGTTTTTATTGGACTATCTACTGGCAAGTCTTTGTATTATATTTCAACCCAACTATCTTCCACATCTTGTAAACACAATTACAAAATAATTAGTCAAGGAAATTGAAAATTTGTAGCATATACACCATGTTTGAAATGCCATGTCCATAATGAGCTGACAGCGATGAGGAGGGTGTATGTGGGAGTTGGCTCTCTTGTCTGTATCATTAATTTGCTGATCACTCCTGTTGCCAAAGTTTTAGAAAATATAGGGCTGTATATTAAATACTTATCTGATCTGATTGCAAGAACAGACAAACAAATCAGACAAGGAAACAACATTTGATCTCACTTACAAATATAGAGTTTTCAGCTAAGAATGTATGCCAGCTATTGGCATAAGTATCCTGTCCAAAAGCTGTTGCACCTGCTTATGTTGCTTATACACAAGCGTTCAAACAGCAACTTTTTTTTCAAACAGCAGCCTTTCCTTGCAGCCGTGGTGGAGCACTGGCACAACTAAGTGCACTCTGATAGCTTTCTCTCATTTGGCCTGTCATCAACTGGAAAAAGATCACATAATATAATATATTTCTATTATTGACTTGCTTGTTGTTGGCTCTGTGATGATGAAGATGAATTTAAAATACAAAATTTCAAGAAGAAATTCTCCCTACTTACTATCAAGGTTGTTAATTTGGTCCTTGCAGCAATAACACCAAATACAAAAGTATTTCGAGCTAGCTCCATTTAGTCCATAAACAAGGGCCAAAAACTTCCAGTCAGAGCAATAATACCTGT